ATTGCCAAGAAAACTGTATGAACCAACAGAAGAGTACTTATTTCCAAGGTCAGGTCACAGCAGGTCACCTGTGACTCAAAAGATATACAAATCCAGACCAAAGTCTTCCTCACTTTTTTACAGTTCAACTGAATTCTAGCTCTAAAAATGGGAAAAATAGCCAAGTAGATTCAGATAAAAGAATATCGGAATGATTTATTTATATTGTATCCTTAAACTTGAAATGAAATTGCTGAAAAAATATTTCTTTCAGGCTATTTATTCAGAGGGGCAATCAGAAGTACCCTCATGTCTCTTCTGAACAAAAAGAGGAGGACTACAATTAGAATTTAGTCATTTGACGATGTGTGTATAGTAATATAACTTAGGTCCTGCTGGGGTATCTCTGTATCTCTACCTGCCAGTTGATTTGGGTAGAGGTTGGTGCTTTTCACAATTTGTACCAGTAGAACGTTCACCCATTTGGGTTCAGTTGATTATTCCTTATCAATGCTGCAGTCTGAATTTATAACAAATATGAAGCTGAACAAGCATTTTACTTTTCTCAGTACCTTTCAGTATTTCATACATCACAGCACAGCCAACCTCTGCCGATGCTCTAGCCATCTCTTAAGTTTATTGGAAATGCCACAGCGGTCCCACTTTCCACCGTAGTGCCAAAATCAACACTGTTTATAGGTGACATATTTTGTAGGGGGAGGGGAGCCCATCAAAGGCTTAGACAGCAGTATTTGTACAACCCAAAGGTGACTTTTATTAGAGGGAGACGTTGACACATCAGCATTTCTGATCGTTATCTCTGAAGTGGGAACATGCCAGTACATGTGTACAGTATCCATTCGGCTGGAAATGAGATACATCGTGGATGAAGAATATCCTGTTAAGCATTCCCACGTTAGCTTGTGTTTTGACCCAACACTACTTGTAAAGACAAGTGTACCAAAGATGGATGCCAAAAAGAGAAGCTTTATCCCATGCCTGACTAGACTCAGACACACCATCACCCCACAGTTCAGAATTTCAGATTTCAGGAGCCACAAGGAAAGTGATTGCTGATTTTGATCATACTGTTAAAAAAAAACCCAAAACTTTGGACTCTTCCAAAGACCATGTTTGATTTGTGGTAGGTTATGAATTATATATCTCTTTTCAATAAAGGTGAATGGTTGTCATTATTTTGTGATTGTTTTGCTGTTCACTCTTAGCTGTGAGGTAATATTTTTTTTGGCCATAATTGGCATTGTTTATACAGATGTGAATGACAAATAAATCTCCACCAGAAGCTAGTCCTTATAGTCATTTGTATTCTGACTCAGCTTTCACAAATATAGCGCCAAATCCCCATGAATCCCTTGCCAGCAACTGCTTAGGCAAACATGGCTGGTTAACTGGAGTTAACTCAAAAAGCATTGGTTATAAGGCAGGCTGATGCCTGTATGAGATGTTCTTCTGGCACGTGACACTCATAGACAATGTAGAAGCACCAGATTACCTGAACAGCATCTTCACATTTTTGAAAGACACCAGACTGTGGTGGGTTGCACCAGCTAAGCGTAAGTTCGATCTTAGCCTACGATGGACGTAAATTGGCCCTACGTTCGAGTTTACGCACTACTAAAAAATAATCCGTTGCACCACGCTCTTAGTTTCAACGTAGTACTAAGTTATAGCGTAAATTTTACACTACCTTAACATTAGGTGTAAAGTCCATCGTAAGAAAGACGTTAAAAAGTGGTGAAAATGGCTATCCGTTTTGAACGGTGGGAAGACTAAATTAAACGCGGTTTACGTCGAGAAAGAGTCATTCGTGACCGGTTACATCCCTTTGAAGAATATGATGATGTTGATCTGTATACTCGGTTTCGTTTTCGCCGTGCCGAATTACAAAAAATTACCGATCTGTTAGCTGCTGATCTACAGCATGATACTGACAGAAACGGAGCCCTCAGTCCGGCTTTACAAGTATGTCTTAGGTACTTTGCCACCGGCTCTTTTCAAAGTCTTGTGGGCGACTCGATGCATGTACACAAGTCCACCGTGTGCAGAGCC